ACCAATTTGTTATCCAAATATTTTTTCTTCTCATGTATGCGGCAATTACACATTTCACAGGTTATTATGTGACATTTATGAGAAAAAATACATTGTGAAATTTAATAAGTAGGAACACTGATTACCTTCACCATCAAAATAAGCTATTTACACAGTTCTACTAAACTAATTTCACACCTCTGCAAAACTAATATCACACCTACATTTAACATTTTTTAATTCTTTCATTTGTCATCTGTTAGTGTAAATTATGATTTTTTTTTTTTTTTTACTTGAAATTGACATTGGTTAAGCATTATAGCGTATTTGAAATCTTGGATAATTGTAAGATTTTCTTCAATAACCATTCTAGTGAATGTAAAATCCTCCGTAATTGTTTTTTTTTTTTAACTGAGTTGGTTTCATTACGTACCAATGTGTTATCCAAATATTTTGTCTTCTCATGTATGCGGCAATTACACATTTCACAGGTTATTTTGTCACATTTCTGAAAAAAAATACATTGTGAAGTTTAATAAGTAGGGACACTGATCACCTTCACCATCAAAATAAGCTATTCACACAGTTCTACAAAACTAATTTCACACCTCTGCAAAACTAATTTCACACCTAAATTTAACATTTTTTAATTCTTTCATTTGTCATCCGTTAGTGTAAATTATAATATTTATTTACTTGAAATTGACATTGGTTAAGTATTATAGTGTATTTGAAATATTGGATAATTGTAGGATTTTCTTCTATAATCTTCAATAAGCATTCTAGTGAATGTAAAATCTTCCATAACTATTTTTTTTTAACTGAGTTGGCTTCATTAGGTACCAATGTGTTATCCAAATATTTTGTCTTCTCATGTATGCGGCAATTACGCATTTCACATGTTATTATGTGATATTTATGAGGAAAAAAACATTGTGAAGTTTAATAAGTAAGGACACTGATCACCTTCACCATCAAAATAAGCTATTCACACAGTTCTGTAAAACTAATTTCACACCTCTGCAAAACTAATTTCACACCTAAATTTAACATTTTTTAATTCTTTCATTTGTCATCTATTAGTGTAAATTATGATATTTTTTTACTTGAAATTGACATTGGTTAAGCATTCTAGAGTATTTAAAATCTTCGATAATTGTAGAATTTTCTTCTATAATTTTCAATAACCATTCTAGTGAATGTAAACTCTTGCATAATTGTTTTTTTCTTAACTGAGTTGGCTTCATTAGGTACCAATGTGTTATCCAAATATTTTGTCTTCTCATGTATGCGGCAATTGCACATTTCGCAGGTTATTATATCACATTTGTGAGAAAAAATACATTGTGAAGTTTAATAAGTAGGGACACTGATCACCTTCACCATCAAAATAAACTATTTACACAGCTCTGCAAAACTAATTTCACACCTAAATTTAACATTTTTTAATTTTTTCATTTGTCATCCGTTAGTGTATATTATGAATTTTTTTTTCTTGAAATTGACATTAGTTAAGCATTCTAGCGTATTTGAAATCTTGGTTAATTGTAGGATTTTCTTCTAGAATCTTCAATAACCATTGTAGTGAATGTAAAATCTTCCATAATTGTTTTTTTTTTTTAACTGAGTTGGTTTTATTAGATACCAATGTGGTATCCAAATATTTTGTCTTCTCATGTATGCGGCAATTACACATTTCACATGTTATTATGTCACATTTATGAGAAAAAATACATTGTGAAGTTTAATAAGTAGGGACACTGATCACCTTCACCATCAAAATAAGCTATTCACACAGTTCTGTAAAACTAATTTCACACCTCTGCAAAACTAATTTCACACCTAAATTTAACATTTTTTAATTCTTTCATTTGTCATCCGTTAGTGTAAATTATGATTCTTTTTACTTGAAATTGGCATTGGTTAAGCATTCTAGCGTATTTGAAATCTTGGATAATTTTAGGATTTTCTTCTATAATCTTCAATAACCATTCTAGTGAATGTAAAATCTTCTATAATTGTTTTTTTTTTTTTAACTGAGTTGGCTTCATTAGATACTAATGCGTTATCCAAATATTTTGTCTTCTCATGTATACGGCAATTACACATTTCACTGGTTATTATGTCACATTTATGAGAAAAAATACCTTGTGAAGTTTAATAAGTAGGGACACTGATCACCTTCACCATCAAAATAAGCTATTCACACAGTTCTGTAAAATTAATTTCACACGTTTGCAAAACTAATTTCACACCTAAATTTAACATTTTTTAATTCTTTCATTTGTCATCTGTTAGTGTAAATTATGATTCTTTTTATTGTAAATTGGCATTGGTTAAGCATTCTATCGTATTTGAAATCTTGGATAATTATAGGATTTTCTTCTATAATCTTCAATAACCATTCTAGTGAATGTAAAATCTTCCATAATTGTTTTTTTTTTTAACTGAGTTGGCTTCATTAGATACCAATGCGTTATCCAAATATTTTGTCTTCTCATGTATGCGGCAATTACACATTTCACAGGTTATTATGTCACATTTATGAGAAAAAATGCATTGTGAAGTTTATTAAGTAGGGACCCTGATCACCTTCACCATCAAAATAAGCTATTCACACAGTTCTGCAAAACTAATTTCACGCCTAAATTTAACATTTTTTAATTCTTTCATTTATCATCCATTTATGATTTTTTTTTACTTGAAATTGGCATTGGTTAAGCATTCTAGCGTATTTGAAATTTTGGATAATTCTAGGATTTTCTTCTATAATTTTCAATAACCATTCTAGTGAACGTAAAATCTTCCATAATTGTTTTTTTTAAAACTGAGTTGGCTTCATTAGATACCAATGCGTTATCCAAATATTTTGTCTTCTCATGTATGCGGAAATTACACATTTCACAGATTATTATGTCACATTTATGAGAAAAAATACATTGTGAAGTTTAATAAGTAGGGACATTGATCACCTTTACCATCAAAATAAGTTATTCACACAGTTCTGCAAAACTAATTTCACACCTCTGCAAAACTAATTTCACACCTAAATTTAACATTTTTTAATTCTTTCATTTGTCATCCGTTAGTGTAAATTATGATTCTTTTTAATTGAAATTGGCATTGGTTAAGCATTCTAGCGTATTTGAAATCTTGGATAATTATAAGATTTTCTTCTATAATCTTCAATAACCATTCTAGTGAATGTAAAATTTTCCATAATTGTTTTTTTTTTAACTGAGTTGGCTTCATTAGATACCAATGCGTTATCCAAATATTTTGTCTTCTCATGTATGCGGCAATTACACATTTCACAGGTTATTATGTCACATTTATGAGAAAAAATGAATTGTGAAGTTTAATAAGTAGGGACTCTGATCACCTTCACCATCAAAATAAGTTATTCACACAGTTTTGCAAACTAATTTCACACCTTTGCTAAACTAATTTAACGCCTAATTTAACATTTTTTAATTCTTTCATTTGTCATCCGTTAGTGTAAATTATGATTTTTTTTTACTTCAAATTGACATTAGTTAAGCATTCTAGAGTATTTGAAATCTTGGTTAATTGTAGGATTTTCTTCTATAATCTTCAATAACCATTCTAGTGAATGTAAAATCTTCCCTAATTGTTTTTTTTTTTAACTGAGTAGGCTTCATTAGATACCAATGTGTTATCCAAATATTTTGTCTTCTCATGTATGCGGCAATTACACATTTCACAGGTTATTATGTCACATTTATGAGAAAAAATACATTGTGAAGTTTAATAAAAAGGGACACTGATCACCTTCACCATCAAAATAAGCAATTAACACAGTTCTGCAAACTAATTTCACACCTCTGCAAAACTAATTTCACACCTAAAGTTAAATTTTTTTAATTCTTTCATTTGTCATTAGTTCGTTTAAATTATGATATTTTTTTTACTTGAAATTGACTTTGGTTAAGCATTCTAGTGTATCTGAAATCTTGGATAATTGTACGATTTTTTAGCCCTTTTCATTAGTTCGGTAAATATTTAGTATATATATATTTTTTGTCACAAGTTATAGAATCTGACTTTAACGTTTTGATGGACCTTTTGCTTGTTGTAGCATTCATACTGAAGTTATCCCAATGGATAATGACTTTAAGTATTAATGATGTGAGAACAAGCGTTCCAATCGTTGCCGAAATCAATATTTCTGAAAACTTAGTAGCAGAAGTTGTCAATCCCATTGACATAGAATTCACACCAAAATTGAACATGTAGTTTGACACTGAGGATGAAGCATACGACTTTTATAATGCTTATGGGGGTAAAGTTGGATTCAGTATTCGTAAGGATTATGCAAATAAAAGCCGTAAGACAGGAAATATTACAACAAGCAAGTTTGTGTGTTCCAAACAAGGTTTTAGGGTGAAGGACAAGAGGGATATCCATACAAGAAAGCCCAGGGCGGAAACTCGAATCGGTTGTGGTGCACTAATGCAAATTAGATATGACCGCAAGAAGGGAAAGTATGTTGTATATAATTTTGTCGAATCTCACAATCATCCGATGATAATTGAAGAATGCACACATATGATGCCATCACAACGAAGAATAAGTGTTGCCCAAGCAATTGATGTGGAATTGGCCTGCCAATCTGAAGTTCCACTCGGTAATGCATTTGAGTTAATGAGCAGGCAGGCTGGTGGGAGGCAATCAATTGGCTACACCAAAGTTGATCAACAAAATTTTCTAAGGACAAGAAGACAGAGTGAGTTAGAATACGGAGAGAAGACATGGCTGATGAATTATTTCAAAATTCAATCTTGTGAAAATCCTTCATTTTTTCACACCGTGCAGTTGGATAGCGATGAAATGATAACTAATATCTTCTGGGCAAATTCGAGAATGATAATTGACTATGGGCATTTTGGAGACGTCGTCACATTCGACACGACTACAAGCTCGTCCAAAGTAATCGTCCTTTTACGGCTTTTCTTGGTTTGAATCATCATCGGGAGACTGCTGTCTTTGGACTAGCATTGATGTATGACGAGACTGCCAATTCCTTTGCGTGGCTGTTTGATTCATTCTTGAATGCAATGTCAGGTAAGTAGTCTAAATGTAATTTTTTTTTTTTTTTTTTTTTTTTTTTTTGCAATTATTAAAGGCTGAAGTTGATCATGCCCTTTTAATAAAAATCAGAATCATACTGAAAAAGTATATATATATAAAAAAAAGAAAAAAAAAAAAAAGAAAAAGGAAGGGTTAAAAAAGGGCATGATCAACTTCAACCTTTAATAATTGAACATGGCCATTCTTTTTTACCTTTTTTATGTGAATTACTTTTTCAAATGAAGATATTTTATTGGGCCATAATGTTCTTGCCTTCAAATTTTCAATCCTGTTAAAAATTTTAGTGATGATGTATGATAAGATTGCCTATTCATTTACATGCCTTTTTTTTATATTCTTGAATGTGATGTTAGGTAAAGCACCACAAACGATTCTTACTGACCAAGATGGTGCAATGGCAAAGGCGTTGGCACAAGTTATGCCGAGGACAAGACATTTACTTTGCACGTGGCACATCATGGCAAATGCACAGAAGCATGTAGGCACCATTTTTAGGAATGATGAAGGGATTAAAAGTGTGCTGAGTCAATTCATGTACTGTTATGATGATGAGGATGATTTTTGTATACAATGGGATGTAATGTTAAGGGACTACAATGTTGTTGGTAACACATGGTTGAAAAATTGTTTGGTTTAAGAGAAAAATGGGGTTATCCATTTGTTAAACATTGGTTTATCGCTGGAATGCGGACAACGCAGCTGAGTGAAAGTTTAAATAGCTGCTTGAAAGAGTACTTAACTAGGAAAATGAGTATTCCAGATTTCTTCATGCACCTTGACAGGCTATTGTCAGATAAACGGTACAAGGTATATCAAGCTGAGTATGGTTTACTCAGTAAACTACCTAGACTTAAACAAAATTGTCCCATTCTAAAACAAGTGGGCAATATGTACACATTGAAGATTTTTGAACTTTTCCAGGACCAATTCATAGAAGCTTGTGTGGTTGGTACCGTGGAAGGAACAAGTTTTGATGAAAATGGATTATGTGTTTCTAGAGTATCTGTTCATGATGGCAGTATGGATCAGACTGTAACAAGGTGGGATGATGGCTTTCTAACTTGTTCGTGCGGGAAATATGCAATGGAAGGTATTTTGTGCAGCCATGTACTTAAAGTACTGAAAGACGACACTCAGTATTTCAAAGAATTACCTTCTATGTATATACTAAAAAGGTGGACGAGAAAAGCTAGGGATAACAGCATACAAGACATCCGTGGATGTGAAGTTATTGCTGATCCTAAACTTGAAGTACGCAGAAGGTATAGGATGTCATGTCATTTTTTTACAGAAATCAGCTCATTTGCATCCGAGAAAGAAGAGGTATTCAATAATTTGATGCTAAAGGGGATGAAATGGAAAAGGAAACACATTAATGTTGAAAGGCAATGTTTCGATGTTGAACAAGAGGCAACCAATTCAGCTTTTTCAACTGAAAGAAGTAATAATCATAAACATAATGAAAGTATCATTGGGGAAGCCGTGACCGGAAGTAATGCCAAGGGTATAAAGAATAAAGAAACAGGTGGTAACGGACCAAGGCGCAGGAAGAAGAATAAGTTTGAACAATACATGCAGAGAAAAAAAAACTATGCGAAACGAAAGGTTAATTTAATTTATTTTTCTATTATTTGATAATTTAATTTTTCAGTATATGTCATTAACATTTTGATATTAGCAATGTCATAATTTTGTTTTTACAATGAATAAATCTATTATTTTGTAGAAATCAAATGGCAACAACAGTGTTAGTGTAGGTGTAGGTGGCAGTAGTACCGTGCCACCTATTACATATGTACGTCTGAATGTGAGTTTTCTCCTTTTCTTAAATGAAAACATTGATTTTTTATTTTTTATATATTATTATAATTTTCAGTATGATAATCTCTTAATTAAGAATGTTTATATTGAAATAAGGGTTGTGACATTCCTAGCGACGCCACTTGGATTTACGAAGATCATCACCCATGTGCACGTTTACATTCGGAAACAAATATCGACCAAATGACATATTGCCCTACCACTAACTTCAGTCATCCCAGGACTCCACCAACTGAACAGGTTTAAACAAACTTTTTTTCTGAACTAGGTATATAAAAATTAATGAACATTATTTCATACTTTTGAAATCCATTAGTTAATGAACATTGAGAATATATTGGCAGGGGACTCCATTTGTTTCGTATCATGAATGCCGATTCTCCGATTATCTTGTAAGTTTATCTCTTATAAAATTTATGTTTCTGCAATATATTCTAAACATATATGTTTTAACTTTGCATTAATTAACATATGTACAAATATTGTTTTTGTATGATCCATTTTAAGGATGTTGATCACACCAGTGGTGACCGTAATTTGATGCCAATGTTGGAGGAGACAACATCCGAGATCAATCCTCCAGCTCGGCAAAATTTATTTTGAGTTAAGAAATTCATGACAAATTGATGGTGTATAGGTATACTATGGTTGATGGATGATAACAGAATATAGTGGCATAAAAAATATATCCCTTTTTGAGTAAAGATTTGTAAATGTATGGATATCTTGTTCACTTTTGTTTTTTGGGTTTTGTATATATGGAAAATGAAATGGATTTTTATTCAGGCCTATTTATGTCAATTGAAATATGTATGTGTACATATATTGTTTAGTCCATTTTGTTTGTGATTTGGGACAGGTTGAAACCATTAATTTCAAGGTGACATGGTTCCGTGAATGGCATTTGGCTATTTTCTCCAATGATGGCGATACTTAATTGCCTCTTGCATATGGCGATTTTATGTTAGACAGTGTTAATTAGATTATCCATCCCAAAAGTTCCATTTTGTTACTTCAAAAGTTAAATACAACATCACACTACATACATCACATTACATACATACACATATATCACATTACATACAGAAAACAATATCAACGGTTATCATCAGTTGACTATGACTTTTTCTCCAATGATGCCAGACACTATCAATATGTGGAGATCGCAATGGCAAAGATTACATTTTATTTTCTCCTCATTTATTCACTCGACCATCCACCATTTGACGTGAACCATGTCACCTTCATAGTTCGGTGGTCCATAATCTTCCTCACAACAAGCAGGAATGTTATGAAATAACCCATTTGACCACCCTCTTTTCACTATTGAAATCATTTGTTCCCTCCGATGTTTTATGATCAGTTTATTTGTTATGTCTGTGTTCATGTTCGAAAGTTGTTGAATACCATTTACTTTATCAGCATCATTGCCATATATTAATGCAATGGCTAAAGCAAACTTACAACCAGTATGCTGAAGATATGCACCTTTGGTTAGAATACTTAGGCCATCTGCTCGATTTTGATGCAAGAAAAATAGCTCCTACATCCAACATAAAGTTATTAAAAATAAACCCGATTAAATTACTTTCACAATTTAGTAAAGTGAGTGCAAGCAACGTACCACTCCGGAGACAAACATAGCCTCCAAATTGCCATCATCAACACATTTTTGCATGAACACGCATCGCAAATAGTAAGTATCACTGGTACCCCCCGTTTGTATTTCGTACAAAGGATTTAAAACTGAGAAGTCGTAACATATGTGGCTCCAAACACACTATAGCTAGCTTATGAGAACTGCACATATTTAAAGACTTTTAACAAAAAATTTCGTGAATGAAAAAAATATTATAAACATAAAACAATAATGTACAATTAAATCCTTACCATTGTTGAAGTTGTAGTAGGTCTTGAAAATTATTTGCTGCCACTCTACTAACCACCTCACTGAGCAACGGCGGTGGGAGTTCTTCTATTTTCATTTTCTGAGCCAACTTGTTTTGTGTATGCTGGTTACCTTTTGGGGGAAGGTTAACCATTGGTTTACCAGAAAGGGAAGAACTTATGGTGGATATATAGTCAATGTGCATAGCCAATTAATGTGGTAGGTTAGGATTAGTTGAACACGAAATTGTGTAATAACTCACAACATTAGCTGTAAATGTATAATTAAATGCACTGCTTGTTTGATATGACTAAGTATATCTACAACAACAAACTTATATAGAGATATTTGGTTGAACCGACAAATCTCTTCTAAGTACATTCACCATCTCAACTAAGTATTCACATCCTGTTATTTAAGTAATAGCACATATGAAATTATCTGAATTCACCATACTGTTTTTCTGATTTGAAGTGAATATAGATAAAATAATATGTGTGTGTGTGGGCGCGTGTGTGTATATTAATAAGAAAGCATAAAAAAAATTTATATTCCTTAAAAAAAATACAATCTTCACCTTCATAATTAAGTATTCACACCCTACTGTATAAGTAATATCACATACAAAACTATATGAATTACCCAAACCCTAGAAGGAGCCGGCTCTTGTAAACAAGAGGAGGCGGCTCCCTAGCCTTGAGAGCCGGCTTTCCTTTTTGGGAGCCTGCTCTTTGGATGGAAACTTCATTTCGTTGAAAAAAGCTTTTAGAGTCGTCTCTAATTGAAATGGAGCCTGCTCTAATTTTCTGAGCCTTCTCTACAAATCTCGAGCCTTCTCTACTTTTGTAGAGCCTTCTCTACTTTCCCTTGAACTTTCTCTAATTTTTGTAGAGCCTTCTCTACTTTCAGTAGGAGGCTTAAAATGAATTCTAGTATGATGTAAGGCTCATATGAATGTGTTTAAAAAGCTAATGAGCTAATTTTATGTTCTTTGAGAGATGAAATGAGAATGATATGCATGAATTGTAATTTTGAGCTTCGAATCCTATCAATATGCATCTATCAAGATACTTAAAAAAGCAATAGAATAGCACATTAGCATGATAACACATCTTTCTCCCCCTTTGTCATCTCAAAAAAAAATGGGAGACTAAATGAATAGATAAAGAAAAATAACTTGCCATTTCAGGAAATATCAGAGAAGAATGAATTAAAGGGCAAAAGATAAGCAAATATGGCAATTTATAGATAACATAAAGAGAACGTGAACACGAGTACCATATAACAGATAAAGGCACAGTTTATAAAACACAGAAAATGCTTCTCTAAAGCAAATAAAGCTAATAAGTGCACACAAAAGAGGGTTTGAAATGGAGAAAAACTGTTCTAAGGAGAAGAAGGTCCATATTGGTTTTGAAATTCTGTAAAATCGTCATTAAGATGAGCGATTGCCATGTGCATTTCGTCAAGTTGAGTTTGTTGTTTCTCAAGAGTGGCTTGGTTTTGACGAGTCCCTTTGAGAATTTCCAACAAGAGAGCACGATTGGTACGATTTTCAACTGGAACTTCCTCATTTTCATCATCGTTATCACTTTCATAGTCGTCTTCATCCCCATCATCAACATCCTCAATCTCTTCTCCCCTAGTTCGAGCCTCTTCTAACCTTCGTTGCCTAGGATAAAACCACACATTATTGTAATCCCTTTTTAGCCCCATTGACGCAAGATTGGAGGCAGTGAGAATGTGTCTTGGCCCTGGTTTGACTACTTCACGACTATCAAGCGGAACCTTCTTAGCCATAAATATGTGAGAGAGAACCATGGGATAATAAAGAGAGACCTTTTTCTTTCTTTTGCATGTAAGAATGTGATGAAATATAATGTATGCAAGATCAAAGTGCTTGCCATTTAAGACACACCAGATAAGAAAGACGTCCATGTGGGAAACTTTGGATCGATTGCCAGATTTGGGAAGAATAGAGTACATGATGATCTTGTGAATCAGCCGAGCTTCCATAGTTAATTGTTTAGTGTTGACTTCTCTAGTATTTGTTACATTTGAATCATAACTCATTTGCCGAATAGCCGCGAGTTTATCAAAGCCTTGTCCTTCAAACCAGTTGAAATGAGAATAGAATTGAATTCCATCCACAGAGGGAAGATGAAGGATTCGAGCAATGCTGTTTGTATCAAGGTGAAAATATATTCCAGCCACATAGCAGTTAAGTTTTTCTTGTCCAGGCATTTCTTCAAGATGAGTGTAGAATAACTTTACTAATTTTGGATAGTAACCTTCATTCATTCCAACAAATGATCCAAGGCCAATTGCATCAAACAATCTATACGTGTTGAGATGAAGATCATTGCAAATTGTGTCAGACAACACCATTGTTGTGGCCACTTTTCTATGCTGAAAGAATTTGTCATATATGCTTTTGTATGTGGGGTTTTTATATAGCATGGTGGCAGAGATTTGAAGTGGAGGAGAATTTGGTTCACTAGGGCCTGATTCATCATTATGTTGAGTAGACCGTTTTTGTCCACGAAAGGGATTCTTTCTACGTGAGGATGAAGCCGTGGACATTTCGAGAAATTAAACTGAAATTACAGAGGAATTCTCTGAATAAAAATCTAATTTAAAAGGTAATGAAAAAATTCAATCTCAAATAAGTGTAGACAGAAGATTAACAGTAAAACAAATTGAATCAATGGAAAGGCCTAGTCAAAGTTGCACATTTAGTTAGAATTTTGAGGGAAAAATAAGTTATCTAGACATGAAGAACCAAAATGGAGGCATACTAGAGGATTCAAATTTAAACTGAAATGGAAGCATATGGAATTTTAACAGGACAGTGCATGGAACAGTCCTAAATTGTTTGCTTGATAAACAAAAAAAAAATTATATAACATGCTCTAGGGATTGAGATATATATAAATTCATCCTAAGAGTAAGAATTCAACATAATTGTGAAATGTACTACTCAAATGAACCAAAGTCATCACAAGTATTCAAAAATAAATTTAGATAATAAAACACAAAAACAAACAAAAATATTTGCCAAACTAATTTTTTTTTTTTTTTTGACAAAATTTATGCAAGAACACAAGATTTGATCAAAATATGATGGATCAACAAATTGATTAAAGGACAAATGGAAGTTTGTGCATAAATTTTGAATTTGCAGACCATAAACTAAGCAATTCTTTCTAGAATAAGTCTTTTACATGTGAAAGAAAAAGGCTACATTGCAATCAAGGGTCTCATGGAATGATGAAATTAAAGGAGTAAATTAAAAATTAATTACTGAACATTCAATAAACAAGTAATGAATTTATGAAATGTAGAAAAAAATAGATGAAAACTTACTTGCTTGAAGAGACTAGAGGAGAATAAAGAAAGCCCTAGCCGAGATGCTCTCTGGAAGTGAATGAAATTATGCCCAACAGTGAGTAAATGATATACAACAGAGAGCAATTCGAAGGGCCATATTAAGGAGATGGAGCCGGCTCTTGGGATTTAATGGAGCCGGCTCTTGAAGTTCAATGGAGCCGGCTCTAAGTTGTTGAGCCGGCTTATAATAAATATGGAGCCGACTCTCAGAATTTTTAGAGCCGGCTCCTTGCCAAGCAAAAACAAAAAAAAAAAAATAAATGAAAAAAAAATAATGGACAGCCGGCTCAAGAAGAAACGTGGAGACGGCTCAACCCAATTTTTT